TCAAGTGGTAGAGTGCTAGCCTTGAGCTGAAGAGCTGAGGGACAGCGCCCAGGCCCAGAGTTCAGGCCCCACGACTGGACCCAAAAAAAAAAAATCTATATCCAATCTTTTTATCTCCTAGTAAACTATATCTTCTTTAAGTCTTGATTTAAAGAAGATATAGTTTACTAGGAGATAAAAAAGGCTTGCTTAATTAGATGAATGTTTCTCCTTTAGCTACTGCAATTTATCTAAAAAGTTGTTGCTCTGATTTCAGATGACAACTTTCAGACCTAACCTAACCTTCATTTATTTTTGTGGCCCGCAGCAAGACATCTGTCTTAGTTTTCTGTTTCTGAACTCAAGAAACTCACCCGGAACACTGGGATGATCCATTGTAGAGCAGAGCTGTCCACTCTTAAGAACGAACAGGTCCCAAACTCTCAGCAGTAAAGAACTGTAACAAGAACTATGTTCCCTTACATCAATACTCAGGAACTGAGTAATTTAGAAGAGCTCCAAACCATCCTAACCGGTCTTCTTTAGTATCTCTCATCAAAACACACCTTTCCTGGCTGCGCACTGTCATCAGTCACACACACACCTGAGAGCTGTGGTCCCGGCTGGTGTGCATCTCCACGTCAAACATGATCTGCCCGTCTTCTTGTGGGGAAGGGCTAGGAAAGAAAGAACTCAGCCATTAGTTTTACTGTTCTTTTCACCACATAAATTTGCCTCTATTAGAAATGAGAAAAGTAAAAGGTAAGAGTAAAATGGTTTTGGAAAATCAGCATATCCCAAAGTATACCATAACTCTGCACAAGCAAGCTGGATGTGGCGTATGTGGCTAAGCTAGGGAAGGCCTCCTGGGGGGGGGGTGCTCTGGACTTGGTCAGCGGTGTTGAAGCCTTCGTAAAGAAAGTATAGGACCATCACTGTTTCATGTTTGGCTCTTCCTTCCATTAAAGGTAAAATGATCTTCAAGTTTGGAAACCCTGGGGCTCTTTTATCATCAAATCTGACCTCTACTGCCACCCAACAGCCACCCAACACCCCGCAGTTCTCAGATTCCTCCCAAGGGTCTGAGAGGTTAATGCTTCGCAGTACTGTGAGGGTTGGTTTGCCCCTTTATCATTTTCTCATGAGTACACAGTGGGTCTTCCCAAGGTGACCAGATGTGTGATCGTACAACAGACTGAATGCAAAAGCAGATGGGAATCCAGCTGTTTTCTCTTAAGCCAGATATTGCAAGAGATTTGCTAATACGTACAACAACTCATATTCTCACTATTTTGGGTTATAGGAAAGTGATTTTTTTCCACTGAAGAACTGCTTATGTTAAAATGTAAAATGTATTGAGTATTGCTTTAAAGTTTTCATTCTCCCTCTTTTCCCCACATCTCTCTGCGCCCCACCCCCACCAGAACTGAACACAGGAACTCACACTGGCTAGGCAGGCACTCACCAGGTGAGCTTCCCCGGTGTTTTGAATAGGGCCTTGCTTTTTTTGTCTGGGCCAGCATGAATCATGATCCTCCTATTTACACTTCCCACATAGCTGTGATGACATGCACTGTCATTCACACTCAGCTGACAACCACACCCAGCTTTTTCTTGGTGAGATAGGGTCTTGCTTGGACTAGCCACAGCTACCCTCCCAATGATGGCCTTCCAAGTGGCCTAAACCATTGGACCTGGCATCCAGTTTTCACTTCTCAGTAAATACTCAAGTATAGAACTCAGAAACAAGTGTTTTGGGGTTCCTAATAAATTTTAAAGATTATACAGGGGTTGGGAGCTGGTGGCTCATGCCTGTCATCCTAGCTACTCAGGAGGCTGACATCTGAGTGAGGATCGCGGTTCAAAACCAGCCCAGGCAGCAAAGTCTGTGATTCTTGGTTTTGATTTTTTTTTTGGGGGGGGGTCCAGTCGTGGGGCCTGAACTCTGGGCCTGGGCGCTGTCCCTCAGCTCTTCAGCTCAAGGCTAGCACTCTACTGCTTGAGCCACAGTGCCACTTCTGGCTTTTTTCTTTTTGCTTATGTGGTGCTAAGGAATCGAACCCAGGGCCTCATGCATACAAGGCAAACACTCTACCACTGAGCCACTTTCCCAGCCTCAAAGTCTGTGATTCTTATCTCCAGTTAACCACCAGAAAACTGGAAGTGGGCTGTGGTTCAAGTGGTAGCTCAGAGGCAGTGCCCAGGTCCTGAGTGAAAGAAAGAAAGGTGAAATGTGTTAGATAGCCCTGTAGAGTGTTACTGAGCTAGGTTCTGGGTTTCTTCTGAAAGGCCTGGAGGTGTGCAGACTGGGAGATAAGATGGGTATTCAATCCAAAAGCATTTAAATACCCTTCACATACTTAGAAACCTCAACTGAACACGACCTGGAGGAGAATTCATCTGCCATCACTTGTGCAAGTGCAACCAACCATCAGGAAACCATGTGAGCAGATAGGTAAGCTGGTGACTTCTCTCCACCAGGTTAAGGTAATAAACACACAGTATCAATGATCAAGGTTCATGTAACTGAATGTGTAGGGAAAGTAGGTCACAACAACAATGACTTGAGAAATGCAAATGGAAAGCATGTAGAAATGTTTGGCCAGTTTCTTAATATAAACCATTCTGGAGACAGCACCAGAACCAATGGCAACTGTGCCCAAGGAGCCATCTGCTCTGTCTGCTTCTGCCATGAGCACTTTTAGGCTCTAAGAAACATGGCGACCAGTCAGATGACAAGAGCGCTGGGGCCACCATGCAGCCACAGGAGTTCTCTGGCTGACTAGAACACAAGCCACCTGGGAGGCTCAGACACCACTTCACTCATTTCTCCTTTTTTTTGGTCAGTCCTGGGGCTTGAACTCTGGGCCTGGGCGCTGTCCCTGTGCTCTTCAGCTCAAGGCCAGTGCTCTACCGCTTGAGCCACAGAGCCACTTCCAGTTTTCTAGTGGTTTTTTGGAGATAAGAGTCTCACGGACTTTCCTGCCTGGGCTGGCTTTGAACCGAAATCCTCAGATCTCAGCCTCCTGAACATCTAGGATTACAGGTGTGAGCCACCAGCGCCCGGCTTTCATTTCTCCTTTTTTGTCTTTTTTTTTTTTCCTAGCAAGCACTAGTACGTATTATATGTAACAAGAGTTACAGAGCATAAAAGGAGAAAAATACCCATAAGCCTCATGCTTTCAAAAGTTCTTTTGACCTTCTTCCTGTGCACGTGCCTTTGCTGCCTGGGTAACGTGCATGTGCACCAGGCCTCTGCAGTACCAACAGCATGGCTGCCACTTCAGCGCACGCAGAATTGTTAGGTGCCAAGACGGCAAAGCAAACGGGACCACTGGGGCTCATTCTACCCATGGGTCTCCCTCAGTTCTGACCATCAGCACAGGCAACTCCTGACCAGTGAAATTAGCTTCCCCATACCAAACACAGAAGAAGTAGATCTGAAGTAAAATTTCCTGAGGAAACGGAAGGCCTTCAAAATGAACTATCTTTACACATTGCGTGTGGAGCTGTGCACTGCGCAAATATTGCTGTAACTTGAATCAACTAGCAGTTCCTCTGAGTCAAACATTTACTGAGCGTACTGCATGCCAGCACCATCACTGTGAAGAGTGCAAAGAGGAAACACGACCTCTGCCTGACTCTGGAAGCCTCGCCATCTGGAAGGGGAGCCAGTGTAGAGGTAACCGCCCCTCAACAACCCAGCGCGACCTGTGAGATGGGGCAAAAGGATGAAGGAGCACAGAAGACCGCTGTATTAACTCTGTTACAAAGAAACACTTACGCCACTGGGCTTTAAACAACAAACACCTAAAAATAATACAAGCTGAATGAGAAAAACATCTTTTCTTAGAGAAACAGGGGGCACCTGAGGCTTGTCAATCTGTTGCCACCGAGATCCAGATGCTGCTATAAATGAGGAAGCCTATGCTGTCAAGTGAGGACGGAAGCAAACGATTCTGGTCCCTCACGGCAATCCGCCTGGCCACCCAGTGTCTCCCCAGTGGCACCACACGCGGCTCTCACGCACCTGTCACAGTGGGAGCTGCCCCTGGAGCTGCTCTGCCCTGACTCATGCTGGGCATCCAGAAGAATCTTTTCCATGTCTCCGTTGTGGATGGAGGATGAGGAGGGCACGTGCTCCAGCCCTCCGTTCTTCCCGTTGCCATTCTCGTTGCCATTGCTGTTCATGGGTAGCTCCACCCAGGAACCTGTTGGACGAGTCCGATAAGTTAACCCCAGGCCGACATCCCCATCCCCACACACAGGGTAATATGGTGGCTTCAGATAAGAATTCAGATCCTCAAAGTGAAGCCAAGTGTTCTGAAGTAAATAAACAAGGTATAATAAAAGTCAAAATCTATACTGTTCCATTTCTGAAGTTACCCATGCAAATCAGCCAACTTGGAAGAAATCAGAAATCTAAAACTAACTTTTAGAAAAAAAGGCCTTTCAGCCAGTTTTCCCTCTGGTTAAAGTTCAGTTTATATACAATCAATACTTACTAAACCTCAAGGTTACTTTTCAAAATAATACACAGTTACTCTTTACTAGACAGACCACTTTTTCTGATAGTAATAGGATCTGAATTCAAACCTTCACGTTTCCTAGGCAGGTGGTTCTATAGCTTGAACCATGGCCTGCCTTACCTTTAATACATTAGCTTTACACAAAGCAGAGTATATATCCCATATGCTACCTCAGCCAGTGCTACATCTGCATCACAAATTAAATAACATTCTGTTACCAAAGCCCCAGCCATAAGGCCTGGCTCCACATCCAAGTGCTAACCCGAATTAAGAGAAATCAAATTAGCGGGGTGCTGGTGGCTCACACCTGCAATCCTAGCTACTAAGGAGGCTTAGATCTCCGATTAACCACCAGAAAACTGGAAGTGGTGCTGTGGCTCAACGTGGTAGAGTGCTAGCCTAGAGCAAAAAGAGCTCAGGGACAGCGCCCAGACCCTGAGTTCAAGGCCCACAAGCGACCAAAAGAGAAAGACAGAGAGAGAGAAAAAGAGAGAGAGAGACAGACAGACAGACAGACAGAAAGACACACACACACACATTACAGCTTGGTCAAGTCTGGGAGAGGGAATTCTGAACTTACTCCTGCCTTGGCTACAGAAAGGGAAGAGTGCGGCCAGCTGATGGAGACCGCTCTGGATGGGAAAGTGAGCCTTTTGCCCAAATCAGGGCCAGGGCAGGTGGCCCTCTCTACAGCAGCATGGGATTTTCCTAGAGCAAAGACTAATTCCTAGCCCTCTGTTACAATTCTGACTTAGAACCATCATAAAGTTCCTCTAACTACGCGGACAACTAAACTCCATTCAGCACAAATCAACAAGAAGCTCCTATAGAAGAAACCCAAATGTAATCACAAGAATTGCATGGCAGGGGCTGGGAAGGTGGCTCAGTGGTAGAGCGCTTGCCTTGCATGCATAAGGCCCTGGGTCGATTCCTCAGCACCACATAAGCAAAAAGAAAAAAGCCGGAAGTGGCGCTGTGGCTCAAGTGGTAGAGCGTTAGCCTTGAGCTGAAGAGCTGAGGGACAGAACCCAGGCCCAGAGTTCAGGCCCCACAACCAGACCCTCCAAAAAAAAAAAAAAAAAAAGAATTGCATGGCTGCTGGTTCTTCACAAAATCAGGGAAGACGGCCAAGCCCACAGGGCACTGTTAGCCCTACCCTATAGGTCTGCTACTTCTCCTTTACTCCCTACTTTCCATTCTTTTTCCTCTTTCAAGCGCCAAACATACCCGTGAACTTGCCTCTTTGCTGTCTCCCAGGAGTTCCTGCTTTCCAGGGTTTTCATTAAGCCCTAAGGATGTGGAAGGAGAAACTACAGGCAGGAGGAGGATTTGGGAAGACACTAGCAGAACTGGGGTGGGGAGGTGGGGCACAGCAAAGGGGAGGAGCCCTGGAATCTGAAGTTCTTCAAAGTGTTATTGGCCCAGTGCCTGAATTTTAATAAGAACTGGTAACTGCAGCCAATCAAACCAACTTCACAAAAGAAACAGAAGTGTGCATTTTTCTCTAAGTTTTCTTCTCAAAATATTTTCTTTCAGAAAATGTAACCAAGCAGTTTGGTGAGACCAGGGCTATGACCACCCCAAGTCCTAGGGCTGAACACTAGAAAACACCAGAACCATCTCAAACCCTAAAACACCCCTAAACAAGGCAGAGACTACCCCAGACCCACCGTGAGGCCACTGTTACCCCGACAAGAGGGATAGCCTAAGGCACTGTGGCTGTGAATATGACTTCATCCCAACTCCCTAAGGCCTCTGTGCCCAAAGCTGCTTACCACAGTGTAGGATCTGCTTGCCACCCGGGGGGAGGGGGGGGAGGAGAGAGAGAGAGAGAGAGGGAGAGAGAGAGAGAGAGTGTGTGCGTGCGTGCGTGTGCATGCGTGCGTGCGTGCGTGTGTGACTGTGGTAGTAGGAAGTACCTGGCACACGTCCTTAGAAGAGTTAGTATCTGTAAAGTATGCTCTGCGAACAGGGTCTGCAAGAATCATCCTGTCCTCTCCCCCTAGGAAGCTTCAATGGCGGCCACAGCTCCAGGGCTATGCTCCAAAAACCACAGGTGTAGGTCAGGTCCTCAGCCTCATTCTACATGGACAGGAAAATGGGTACAGACTACGGAGAACTTAAAACTAATGAATACAACTAGCAAAGCTATGAGAGGTTTACACTGAACACATTTAATATTTGGAATGTTTCTGGAATGTGTAAAAATATTTAAGACATTGGGGAGAGAAGGAAGAGGGGGAAGAAGAAAGAGGGGGAAGAAGGCAGGGAGAATGGTGTGTGATAAAACTTTTTTTTCCTGGTCTTACTGCTTCTAGGATTTTCAAACTTCTGAAACCAATGGGACCTGTCCTTCCTGTACAGAAGCCCAGAGTGTAAAACAAACAAAACTCCAGGGCTGCTCTGGCAGACGCAGGACTAGGGAACCAGGAGTTCCAGATGGGTCTCTGTGGAAGCCAGCCTTCCTTACAACACAATTAAGTAATGTGCACTCAAAGTATCTGACCAATGAGGAAAAAGCCACAATGATACATTCTCTGCTCCTATCTTTTCTGAAGGATTTCTAAATCAACAAGTGAACTCTATTTTCTGCATTAACGATTCATAGTTACACAACTAACATGTGTTTTGGGAACCTGGAGACGTACCTAGAAGAGCTTGGTAAAAGTGATCTCGGCCAGCGCCTTTGGCACCGTGGCACATGCAACTCATGGCTGGCCACTTTTATTCACTGCTGATTGGTGCAGCAGTCAAAGCACAGACTGAAGCCAAACCCCACAGAAGCCGCTGCACAGGCCCAGGTTATTTCACCTCTGCAGGGCTTCACCACCTCCTCTGGAAAATAGGGATAACAGCTGTATCCACTTCAGAGCCACTAAGGGGATTAAATGACCAAGCCCACAAGAAAACAAGTAAGGTCCTCGCACATGCTCAGTGCTGCATATGTGTTCACTTCTCTAAGAATTACATGTAGTCTACTGTTTGAAAGTCCTCTGATTGTAAAAATGTACACATGAAAGGAGGGAGGAAGAGTGAGCAAATACAGTGAATATATTCTTTGTACATTATGTAAAAATTGAACAATGTAACTTGGAAGGTAGCATGGGAAGAAAAACGAGGGAGAGGAGGGAAGGAGTGGCATGATCCAGATGCACTGCACTTAGAATATGATGTATAAAATTGTAACTCCTTTGTATAACTACTTAATGAAAGTATAACCATCAATTCATAAAGGGAAAAATAACTGCCTCTTTCCCCCACCTCCCATTCCTGCTCCTAAAGGAAACAACTTTAAATGGTTTCACATGGAGATTTCCGGAGGCGGTTTTGTTTTTTTCTTCAGCTTTCTGTTTTCATTACCAGTGGAAATGTATTATATGCTGTCATGCACTGGAAGTTTTAGTCCAATACGCTGTCCCAAGGACTTTTATCCACAGTTTACAGGTATCTTCCAATGTCCATCCATACAGACATTCACCCATTAACTGATTTGCATCCCACCTCATCATTTATAAACTTAGGGTTCTTCAACCATTAGCCAACAGCAATGGTTAACTATTACCCAAAGGGCCTCTTCAAATACTTCGATGTTACACTGAGGACTTCCGTGAGCATTCGAAAGGATGATTTGGCAATATGCATTAAGAATCTTACATCAGTTTCCTTTAATCCAGTGATTCTTACAGAAAGTTCATCTAGGATCACTGTGGACAGGGCTCAGGTGGTAGCATGCCAGTCCAACAAGCACTAAGTCCTGAGTTCAAACTCCAGTATGGTAGCCCCCCATACACATACACATGTGTACAGGCCACCTGTAGAAACACAGTGCTGTGGTGAACACATGCACATGACCACCAAGAGGCTGCACAATGGCACTATCTGTAGAGTCACACACACAAAAGCAAATTTGGATTTTTTGTTGTTTTCTGAGTTTTGTTTTCTTGTGGACTTTTTCCAGTAAACTTTCCCCTCCCTCCCCAACCTGGGGCTTGAACTCAGGGCTTCTTTTGCTCAAGGCTAGCCCTCCACCACTTGAGTGAGCCACAGCACCATTTCCAGCTTTTTCTGTGTATGTGGTACTGAGGAACAGAACCCCAGTGCTTCATGCATGCTAGGTAAGCACTCTACCACCAAGCCACACTCCCAGGCCTCAAGTAAGTCTTTTTTAATGTTATCTTCAAGTATAAGGAGGGGTTCCATTTACCACGTTTATTTCTGCATACAATGCATCTTCACATCACCTCCTCCAACACTCCCACATCTGTCCCATCTCCAGTCATCTCATCAGGTTGCCTGGTTCTATTTTCACACCGTACATAGAGTATGTGACTGTACTCACCCACAATCCCTCCCTCCATTCATCCATCCACACTCCCATTAGCCTCACCCTTCCTCACAGCCAAAACATGTTTGGTTTTATTAAACTGTTTGATAATAACTCAATGGCATCTCACTGTTGTGCAGAGGATACTTCAGTATAATCTACAGATATTTCTGCCTGGGTTTTGTTGAGACAATGTCTCTCCATGCAGCCAATCCTTGTGCCTCAACCTCAAGTGCTAAGATTACTTTTTGGGGGGGGGGAATGGGGGGAGCTGATCCTAGGGCTTGAATTCTGGGCCTGGCTACTGTCCCTGAGCTTTTGTGCTCAAGGCTAGCAGTCTATCACTTGAGCCTAGTGCCATTTCTGGCATTGTGGTTATCTCGATACAAGAATCTCATGGATTTTCCATCCTGGGCTGGCTTTGAACTGTGCTCCTCTGATTTCAACCTCCTGAGTAGCTAGGATTACAGACACAAACCACTGGCGCCTGGTATGTCTTTCTTAATGGATAAATTACACACGCTCTTTCCCCCTCACCTAATTCATTCCTGACTTATAGCCTAGGAATTTCTTAATGTCCTAACTCCAGACATCCTTAGGAAGTTCTCTTTCTACTTACTTGGGAAGGAAACAAGGCAAGATGGGAGATTTGTGCTATCCCAGCAATACAGCAGAAAACAAGCTCAGAGCAAACTCTTTCTAATAAGCACACTTCCAAATAAGAGCCAAGAGCTTTCTGCATTACTGTACGATTATTTACACGCTGAATGCTGTTTTGTTATGCCAGTTTGTACAAGTATACAATGGCATATTCTGTAGGTTAAGTTTTGGGGAAATGGCTGCTCCAGTAATGGTGATTACATTTTTTTCTGTGTGCTGCAGCCTTACAGCTTTATAACCGCCAGTTCCATCCTCTTGGAGGCTCAGGAGAGGAAAAGAAGGAAAAGTATTCCTCCTCGTGTTCCTTCATCTTTTCAAGCCCCACAGGCAACTCCTACTCTAACCAGGAGTGACATTTTCACTCTATTTACCTTCTTTCCTCAAAACCATTCTGTTTGCTCACCAGGTACCAGAGACTGGAATCCAGGCTAGACCTACAACAGTCACTGGTTTTCCTGACAATGTTGACTTTCGCACAAGTGGGTGCTTACACCAGCCACTGATTTACTCACAATGCCATAAGCAGAGGCATTTTGTGTGCCAACCTTAAGAATAAGAACACTCCCGCAATGCTGAGGCAAGAACATTGTTGCTGAAAAAAAAAAGCAAACAAGAATTCCATTATTACCTTCTGCAACCTACTGAATCTTAGGATATGAGTGACTTCTTAAATATTTTTAAGGACAGTTTTCTGAAAAATAAAACTAACAAATGGAAACATCCCTTTGATTTTGTAATTAGTTTGTCTATTTGCCCTGTAATTTGTAATTTTAAAAAATCAGAGAAAGGACACACTATTTCAAATATTTCAATTATTCCCTATTAAAATTTTGCTTTGATCCTCAACTAAAAATCTCACACTAATCTATATGAGGTTCATTCGTTTTCATAGTTGTGCAACATTAGCCACCAAAGGCCTTGGACTTATCAGCAATTCAGATAGCATTTGATGCCTGAATAAGTTGTTTTGCTCAGTGCCTTAAAAAAAAAATCACTTGAAGGAATCAATAAGACTTCTTGTTTTGTTCAGTCTGCTGTTGTGTAATGAGCTAAAAGGGCACACAGTAAGAAGAAGCAAGGGAAGAGAGAGTAAATATGGTATTATCTAAAAGCTTTTCAGTAACTTTTAAAAGCAGTCTATCCCAAATGAAATATCTTTCCCCTTACCCCCCGGCACCTCCTCCTCCAGTCTTGGGGCTTGAACTCACTCTCCCCAAATCTCTTTGTGCTCAAGTCTAGCTCTCTACCACTTGAGCCACAGCATCACTTCTGGCTTTTTCTGAGTAGTTTCTTGGAGATAAAGAGTCTCATGGACTTTTCTGCTCCGGCTTGCTTGGAACCAGGATTCTCAGATCTCAGCCTCCTGAGTAGCTAAGATTACAGGTGTGAACCACCAGGGCCCTGCTCCAAATGAAATGCTTTCTAAGGAGCCTTTGGTATCCCATGGCTTGGGAGCTTTCACCCCTGAGAGCTAAGAAAAACACAGCAGGGGCTGGGAATGTGGCTCAGTGGTAGAGTGCTTGCCTAGCATGCACGAAGTTGTGGGTTCCATTCTTCAGAAAAAGCCGGAAGTGGCTCTGTGGCTCAAGTGGTAGAGTGCTAGCCTTGAGCAAAAAAAAAAGAAGCTCAGAGAAAGTGCCCAGGCCCTGAGTTCAAGCCCCAGGACTGGCGCGCGCGCACACACACACGCGCGCACGCGCGCGCACACACACACACACACACAAAATAAACAAACGAAGAAAAACAGCAGAAACTGATTTGACACCTGACAGCAACTTCAGCCATCGCGCCACATCACAGGTATCTAAACCCCTATTTTAGGTGGCTGTTCTTTTAAATCACTTTGCTTTCAGTGAAATTATACACAGTCTGACCCAATGGGGCACTCCTAAAGAAACAGAGTGCAACCAAGAAACACAACGTTAAGAAGAGATAAGACTGGCTGGCCCCTTGTGTAATAACTGCACAACACAGAGATTAGGATACATATGCAATCAGGCCCCTGGCAGGTGTGGACCTGGCCAGGCCCCTTGGCTCTAGTCTTTTTTTCTTTTTTCCGGTCATGGGCCTGGGCGCTGTCCCTCCGCTCTTCAGCTCCAGGCTAGCGCTCTACCACGGAGCCACCTTGCCAAGCCCCTCGTCTCTTTCCCTTTCCATGTGAGTCACAAGGACAGGACAGTTAGGTCAGAAACCTCATTCTCAAATCCATGATTCTAAGAGTCTACTAAGAATAACTTAAAACTCCGATTGATATGTGACAAAGACACACTGTCATCTGGTGTGAAAAGTAATTGTTTAAAAAAAAAAAAGATTTCAGGGGCTGGGAAGGTGGCTCAAGCGGTAGAGCGCTGGCCTCGAGCCGAGGGACGGCGCCCAGGCCCCGAGTTCAGACCCCACCACGACCGACCACCACAAAAATCCATGCTGGGGCGGGACACACTTCAATGCTTAAGGAAAACGGGCGGCCTGCGGCGACGGAGTCCTCCACAGGGCGGCCCGGGGACCCGACCCTTCGCTCGACAGAAGTGCCAGCCAGGCCGGGCAGCAGCCTGTCCCAGGACGGGGGGCCGTCCCCGGCCGCCGGGGCG